ATCCACCCAATAGAATGCAGGTGCTTATTAGAGAGCTAAACACAGAGATGAATATTTTTGTGCAATGTTACAGTAATTCTGAGACTCGCCTCAGAAAGGCCTGAATCCAACATTCGAAGGGTATGTCTCTCTTAAGCACTTTATCAATATACAAAAAAGAAGAAAAGAGAAGACAGCTCATTTAAGGTCATAAGACAAACACCAATGTAGGTGGGAAAAATACAGATTAGAAGATGGGGTGGGGGAGGAGAAAAGAAAAGAAAAAAATGGTCATCAACAAGAAATGGTCACAGTCAGGGGAAACAAAGACCCAATTGTACCATACAATCTTAAATAAGGCTGCTATGAGGTCTGACATGGGGTTAAAAAGTCAAAAGAATTTTCTATCATTACTACTTCTTTGAAACAAGTAATTCTTGTTATTGAAGGCCTAGTATAAGCAAGCAAATAGTGATGTGCTCCCTCAGACAAACTGGATGCAGTTAGGAGCCACAGCTTACTAGATTAAAAATTGCATTCTTAAGGAACAGAAGCCAAGTAAAACAGAAGCAAAAAGTTATGATGATAGTTAAAGCAAACTGGATATTGTACAGGTGGTTCAATATTAAAACACAAGAAGCACTGTAAGTAAAAAGCAGCAGCAGGTCTCAGGAGGATACAAAACTACAATAGTCCTATCTTCCAACTGGGTTGAAACAGTTTACAAGGCAAGTTAAATCACCATCCACCAATTTTTATTAACAGAATGTACAGCATCCTTTGAAGAGATAAATATGTAAGAGCAGTAATCAATCATTTTTCTTAAACATCAGAGACTAAGAACAGATTTTAACCTTGTTATTTTAATTATTCTTTGGAGTAATTTGCAGCATAGAGTTTTAAAACCAAAGAGTTATTCAATTCAAGCAGTAAATCAACATCTTGTTACACTACTCACAAAAAATATTTTTATAAGCATATCCCAAGGCATAGGAGGAAGGTGGAAAAAGCAGGGGAAAAATACTCACCTTCTTGTCTCTGGTCCTTACTTCTCCATAGAAGTCTAGGGCTTCTTGTGCCTTTAAAAACTTGCCTCGATGTAACAAATATGCACAAATCATTACACCAGTTCGTCCCTTTCCAGCTTTACAGTGGATTGCTGCAACATGATTGTCATCTTCACTTAGCCATTGGTCAAGATCTTCACAAAAAGGTTTGATAAGCTCTAACTGTGGTGGGTTATGGTCTTCAAAAGGGTACTGTGCAACTGTAATAGAAAAAAAGATTTCCAATACAATAAATTTAAATGTGAGATTTTAACTAGCTTTATTATACGGGTTACCTTTTATAAAAACACTAGTAATAAACATCATGGGCAGGTAACTGGATGGATTGTGTATGTTTGACAAGTGCATCTGACAAGCATAACTCTGAAATCCATAATTATAAGCTATTCAGCACTGCAAACTATTAAGTGTATATGGTGTACTCCCTCACAAATGCACAATTAAGTGTGGTGTTATCCAAATGCAAGGGAGCTACAACAAAGATAATTACATTGAAATGTATGCTCCACTTTCCAATTGTATAACCCAGTGTCCTTGGCAAACTTGATAACAATTTTGCTCCTATCCAACAATATGCCTTATGACAGGGCTGTCCAACTGCTGTCCCATGGTCTACATGCAGCTCCCTGAAGAGTTAGTAACCTGCCCAGCCTCCACACCCCACAAGCTGTTCTTGCCACAGTTGCTGGGCTCCCTCCATCCTCCACCAGATTCTTCCTTCCTTTCCCCACTCTTGGCAGGAGCCGGTTGGACCAGGAGGTAGGACAGGGGGTAATAACAGACCGCAGTATGAATATGAGCTGGCAGTGGGACACTGCAGCTAGTAGGGCACATAATACCCTGGTATGCATCAACCAGTGCATCTCCAGCAAAACCAAGGAGGTCATTCTTCCACTCTACTCAGCACTGGTGAGACTGCAGCTGGAGAACTTCATCCAATTCTGGGCACGACACTTTAACAAGGACATGGACAAGCTTGAGAGAGTCCAAAGAAGAGTCTTACCATGGCAAGCCATACAAGGAAAGGCTGAGGGATCTGGGACTCTTCAGCCTGAGGAAAAGAAGGCTGATAGGGGACCTGGTAGCAGCCTACCACTATACTAGGGGAGTACATCAAGGGTGAGCAACTGTTCACCAGGGCTCCCAAGGGGAAAACCAGGATTAATGGCCACAAACTCCTGGAAGATTAATTCAGGCTCAACATTAGGAAAAACTTCTTCAGTGTCCAGACTGTGTAAAAAGCTCCCTCCAGAGGTGGTGCAATCGTCTACCCTGGAAATCTTCAAGACCTTGCTGGGGTCACCTGACCCTCAGTTATCTTTCCTGCTGGGTGGTAGGGGCTGGACCCAATGATCTTCCAAGGTCACTTCTGGACTTACAATCTATGACCACCTGCTGGGGGAGGGGACTGGGCTGCTCCTGTAGGAAGAGGGAACTAGGCTGCCCATATAAGTGAATGGGGGGGGGGCAGGGAAGAGGGGAAGAAGGCCTGTCCACCTGTCTGCATGGCATGAAGCCTGTGCAGCTGAGTCTGTAGTCCATGCTATGGATGACTGGAAGTTGGACAGCTCTGCCTTATAACAACCCATTATTCCACAACTGTCATTTGGAAGTTCTATTTCCTTTTTAGCCAACATAAAACACAAATAAAACTTTAATTTGCAGAAGGCTTTGCATTAGTTTCATTATTTGTGCTTAATGACTTATTATATATTCAGGTTATGTAAACTTCTCTCCTAAGCAATGAGATTGAGGGCATAAAACAAAAGAGTAAATATACAATTATTTTGAAACCATGAGATATTTTACAAGTAACTCTAGCACTGTGAAGAGTACCACTCATGTATTTTTTTTTAAAGTTTGCATGGACAGCTTATTCACTGACAATTCAGACAGACAAATCCACTTAATTTTCTAGTCCAGCTAAAAGGGAAGTGATAACTAAGAGAAAATGAATACTAAATAAAATAGAAGGGTCCACAATACTTTACAGAACTAAATTAAGCTTTTATCCAGCTCGAGAAATGATCATAAACTGTAAGGGTACATTTTCATATTACTAAGCTGTTTTGCATAGAAGAGTCCAAATATTCCAAGAGCAGCATAAGAAGGCACTTCAAACTGTTTTTGTACTTTAGACAAGTAAGAAGGAAGCTGAAATGCTTCTTCAAACACTACTCAGTGTAGCAGTGCAAAAATAAATTATTTAGATTCAATTTCAGATTTAGCTAAAAAACTTACACAGATATCTTAAACTAGTCACAGTCACTGTAAGAAGGAGCCACAAAAACTGAATCTCTCCAGGGATCAGAAGGGGCACCCTTCCTTGCAGAAAATAGTCCAGAAGTATAGTAATTGCATCCTCTGAAGATGCAACCATGGATTGGGGAAGAGGGGGATGCTATCTTTATCTAGCAGGACAGTCTGAAGCTTTACATGGTCTCAGAGCCAGACCATGAAATAAGGAAAGGTCCAGGCTCCCCTCCACCACTTGTTAAAAATTCTGGGGAAACCCCTGCATGGAAACAAACTGAGAAAAGCTACAGCATACAAAGACTGAAGATATAGCTAGATCCCCATATAAACCTAGCTTTTTGCCTAGACTTACACAAACTTTAGGCAAAAGCCCACAGTCCAAAGAGGACAAATGTCTTGTAAAGCACAGCTTTTATACAGTAGTTTTAGGGGGTTAGCAATATTTTTTACAGTATACAGCTGCTTAACCTTAAGCATGGGCCAACTCCAACTTAGCCCACACCTTGGTCACTGGACCCCTTCTCCACAGTGCTGCTGCTTCACCCCACTGCTGTAGCCAAAACTCTCCTGCTGACCAAGGTAGTGCAAAAGTCACCCAGCTCTGCGGGTCAGATAAAATGGCTCAGTCTGCTGGATCTGACCTGCCATCCCATGTTTTAGGATTCAGAGAAATATTCAGGACCTGGATTAACACCTGTGCTCTGAAAAATCAAGACATCAAAATACCCCCTTGCTTGGCACTCAAATAAGTTATTTTTTGAAGATCTTTACTACAGTTTTCTTTTCTGTCAGGGATGGGCAAAGGACACAGGAAATGAGAAGCCTTGAGTTAGACTCATACATCAAATATAGAACATTGCTTTATAATGATAAAAGGCAGGCAAACAGAAAACCTAAATGGTCTCATAACTGATTAAGCATGCTGTTTATGAAATCTTATGCCTCTCTCGATTAGTGAATATAGAAGGCGCCACTCTGCTTTGTCTTCAAGTTGCCTCAGCTTAAGGTAACTGGCAAGGGCCTTGCTAGGCAGAGTGAATGGGATGAGACCTAAGCATTAATATCTAATGTGCAGTGAAGAGATCTGAATAAATCAGTACTTCTTAGATTTCTGAAAATTAAACTCTTCATAACAGAAAATAAGAATGGAAGCAACCATGCTTCTCTGATCATGTGCAGTCAAAGGCCTAATCATTTTCACTTTTGCATCTCCTTCTCCCACCCTCAGAAATACTGGTGTCAAGCTTTAGTCTTTTTTTCTTAGGTGCCTAAATCACTGAAATGCATGTATATAGACATTTAGATCCCTGGCAGACATTAATTTTTTCATATGATTAACATATGAAAAACATGTTAATCACACAGTAAATGGCAACATGCCACACGCACAAATATTTAAGACGTGATAAACTGCCAAACCAACCACAAAATTATTACACATTAATATGGCACTTAACTTTGAACACGTCATGCAGACACCTAGTAAGAGCACATGCATCTCAGCCTAGCCCAGCCCAGAACAGAAGTCTGTGTCTGAAGAGCCAAACTGGGGTGCTTTGAGACTGACATCAGGAAGCCCCAGCATGCCTGCTTCTCTTTTACTGTCTCAGGACAGCATGCACCTGAGAATGGAGAGAGGCTACCCAATGTCAGATGTAAAGCACTGTGAGAACTTAAAAAAAGCAGGCATACAACCCACCTGCTTTTTTAGGGTCCCAAAGCAATGCAAGTCTATAAGGCCCTGAGGCAGCATGAGCTTAAGAAAGCAGAGATGCTCTCCAAAGACAAAAACTCACAGTGCCTCAGGACCTAAACAGAGCACACATACATACAGCCTGGCATGGAGAAACGCATTTCCTGATGCCAGGCTACAAGCTGCCGATAGGACCAGGACTGGGTGGGTCCTGGTGCCAGGCTCTATACTTGCAGTCGTATGACTGGAATCAGAGGAATTTTATGGCCAACCCACCCAAAAAAAAAAATCACACATCCTGCCACACACATCTGCCACAGAAGGATGCACAATTTTTGCAACCAGGCATACATGTCAGTCATGGGGCCTTAATGTCAACATCTGGTAGAGGTATTAGCTCCCATTTAGGCAAATGGAACCGTTCAAACCTCAAAGCCATTGTTTGTTTTCTCTATTACACAAAAAGAGACCAATTAAATGAATTATACTCTGTTAATGTTCTGTAGGACTTTTTTGGAATTGTAACACCACAAAGGCTTACATATTTTAACAAAAGCTGAGATTCTAGAAGGCAACTTAGCGTTCTGTCTGTTCCCATAGACATACTCCAGCTTCCAAGCTGAAATTCTAGCAATAATTGTCTTGAGCTTGTAACATAGTTAATTACTGGACTACACTTTTTAGAAACTGTCAAATACTGCTACAAATGTCTCCCTGTAGAATTTCTAGTTACTACTCTTCTCCCTCCCAAATAGCCTAAGTTTAACATTATTCATTAGTTCAAAAAGAGGTAACTCTAGAAAAGAAATCTAACATTAATAAACCAGACAGTGCAAACTTACCTCTGCAATTAAATTTGGCGGTGTCATAATGTCTTTCTGCACATCTAAAAAGAAATGTTGGATTATATTAGAATTCAACACAAATATTTATCTTATGCACATTAATGGGGTCTGTGCCACCTTGAAAGACAATAAGTATACAGTCAAAAGAAACCGCACATCTATCACCTGAACAGTTTAATACCTCAGCTAGATTTTATATATAAAATTTAGAATATATTGCTGTATAACATTTTCTAGCTGAGAAACAGTTGCTTACCCCACAGTAACTACCACTCTTCAAGTGGTATTCAGTGTTAATACCACTGCTAGGTCCCATGCAACATCAGAAGGTATTTTCATTGTTCTTTTTAAAAGCAGCATTCACTAGAGCTATTCACACACACACAGTTTCCTCGTACTCCAGTGCTAAGGCCGAAAAAGTGGAGTGATCATGATTCTCTGTTCAGAGCACATTAACGAACTAGAATGAGGGCAAGATCATGGGATCCACACTGACAACATCTGCAGAACCGTTACTAGAACGTAAATAAGCATGTTTTCAATTGCGTATCAGTGCAGATCTCCCTGTAGGTGACTGACAAGCAGTACCCTCTTCATAAAGGGATGTACAACTAAATATCAACTGCAGTACTACTCTCTCACACTTCACATCTGCTATGGCAGTTAAGTCCAATGCATGATTTCAATGAAGGTCAGTCAGTGGGTTACTTCAGGTTCTACATTTGCCAATTTCTAAAATTAGAAATTTCTAAAGCATGTAAAGGATATTTCCTGAGCTGTACTGATGTCCTGTGGGCGAGATAAACCACAGTTTTACACCTCAAAGGAACACAATAAAAAACCAAATGAACAAACAAGTTTGTCCCCTGCATTTTTTTCAATGAGATGACCTGCCATTGGGAAAGACAGAACAGCCAAAACTAAGCAGCAAGACAGTCGGAGCTGTAGGGCTGTGGTGATATAGCAAATCCAGTGCAACTTCTCTCCTTACTAGGGGTGCACTAATGAAGATTTTTTGGGTCAATGCCAATGGCTGACTAATAATGAGCTATATCAGCTGATACTGATCCAAATGCAGATATGCAAGCCTGGCAGATTGGAGAAAAATGGCTGGCTGGTAAGTCTGGGGGGAAAGCGCAGGGGAGGGCAGATCAAGGCCCCACAGTGAGGGAGGGAGTGGGGCAGGGGCTGGCGCTGCCTAGCCAGGGCAGGGCAGGGCAGGGGACAGAGCCATGAGGAACTCGTCTGGGGGTCCCAGGGCAGGGGCTCCTACTGCTGTGTGCACTCCAGGCAAAAGAAAAGGGGCTGTGTGCCCCCTGGATCTGCACCTGGAGCGAAAGCGGGCTGCCATGGCAGGCTAGGGCAGCAAACAATGCCGGGCTCTTCCTGGCTTGGGGATTGGGCTGGGGCTGTGCTTGGTGGCAATGCTACACTGTATCCACCTCATAGCTCCCCTCCCAGGACCACCGCCACCTGGCCTCAGCGCATTTCCCACACCCCTCTCCCCCGAGAAGAGGCCAGTGCAGCCCTGGCTCTAAGCACGCAGCCCACCCTTGCCCCGCATGCAGATCTGGGTGGCACATGCCCCCCATGCTTCCCTTGCGGGTGCATGCAGCAGCAGGAGCCTCTCCTGCCCCATTCCCTCCTTCACCATGGGGGCTTCAATCAATCTGCACCCCCCCCCCATCCGCCTTCTTCCCCAACAGACTTACCAGCCAGACAGTGCTCTCCAAGCTGCCAGGCTGCACTAATGGCTGTGTGCATGTTTCAGCTGCCCCCATACACGCAACGTTTATTGGTGACATTATTGGCCACATCAGCCAAAAAGAGCTGATTACCAATAGTGTCAACTGTCCTTTTATCAGTGTTGGTACGGTATGGACTGATGCACTGGTGTACCTGTTCTCCTTACACAGAGAGTGCTTCAGCATAAAGCACTTGGGTTTACTGCAAACCAAGGGGTGGTTGTATAGAAGTATGCATCCTGTAAGTCAAGAGCCACAAATCAAACTCAAGTCCATAAACACGAGATGATATAGGCAAATACCACCCTGAATGAACAGAAATGATATGTACTTGTTCAGCCTTTCAATCTGCCTTTCTTCTAAAGGATATTGGATAATTTTATATTCTAAAGAATAAGCCTCTTCCTCATAATCCTCCTCTACTGTAGTTCCTACACAAAGCAACAAGGCCAACTCTTTTAAGAAATCTTTAAGAAGAGTCCTTAAGAGGTACAGGTGTACGGGAAGGAGGAGAAAGAAAAAGGGTAGCTCTGGAGAGGATACGCACGATTCATTTGTCTGCTGTGATCATGATCAAGCCTGCTGGAAACGTGCCAAGCAGATTCTGAAAATACTGGTAGGTTTTACATTTATTGTAAACGGACTTCCAATTCTCCCATCAAATCTGCTGTCATGGGAGTGGTGCTGGCCTTTTCTTCTGAGGGTATTTGGGCTCCCTACACTAAAGCCATGAAAAATGTCTTTTTTGAGGCTGGTATGATTTTGAATATAACAAGACACAACACAAACTCCTGAAAACTGTAGCATAGCCCTGAAGTCTAGAGCACTTCTTCTTCCCTATTAGAAAGCTCCATACCCTTCAAAGACCAGATCTCCATAGCAGCTTGCACCTTTTCTGAAACGCTTGATACTAAAAACAATCTGGACTTCTTATCCCAACAGCCATGGCCTCATGGTTTTGTTGGATACATTCATGGCTACCACCTGGTTTCTACTGGTCTTTAGTGTGAAAATCTGGACAAGAAGGGCTTTTTTCCTGGCCAGGATGTTGTATTTTACAAACAGGGCATGGTAAGTTTACAATATGGAGCTGGGCTGAGACAAAGGTCCATTTTTTCAGTCCTATTCTTTTGAGATACTTTTGTGAATCTGGATTCCCTTTTGTACTTCTGCTGTCAGACTCAGTTTGAGCATGCATTTAAATGTTCAAGGCCCTTCAGAGATACCTGGTGCTTCTCTTCCACTCATTTAGATGTAGACTATGGGGTGTCAAACAGACAGCTCATGGGGTGAATTCAGACTGCAGAACCACTATCTGGCTAGCCAGGCTCCTGGAGGGCCACTGGACGTTGTGAGAGTGAGGCCTTCTGTGGAATTCAGGGCTCTTTGGTTCCACTAGCCATGACTATCGGTGGTGAGCTTGGCTCCTCACCACTAGACCCCTTCCTACCGGTGGGCCTGCTACTGTCGTCACCATGGTGGCTGCCCCCATACCCTGGACTGGATCCAGCCTGTGAGTCCTCAGGTGGCTACCATGAACTGTCAGAAGCAACTGAAAATGTAGGGACATCTGGCTGTGTAAAGAATGGCCTAATAATGCTGCTGGTGATGTGGTGAATCCCCTACTCAAAATGTAAAGGTGGGAATCTGCTCCAGGACACAACAATCCCCCAAACAGAAAAGGTGTTGTACTGCAAGAACACTGGACAAATGAGGTTTTGCTTGAGAAGGGGCCCAGAATTCCCTTCAGTCATTTACTGAAAGTAGGAGAGAGAGTCCCTACCTGTTGTCAATGAAAATATGTAGCTCAACAAGTGTACTACTAGTATACTGTACTAATGATAGGCATTGGATTCAGTTTAAAGACTCTAGACAAGCTCAGGCACCTCCACTGGTGCCAATAAGTACCAAGTCCTCTCCCCTGTACATGATATCAATAGATCAGACCTGGAGCCAGGTTTCAGAGGCTGTCTCTTTGGAGAAATGGTATTTAGAATCCTACTCGAGTGACTGATGTTAATGACCAGGTTCATTCTCCACGCAGCTCTGTCTGTGCCAAATTTTAGTTTCAAAGGCATTGGCATCATATCTATCACGGCTGCTAATGCCTTCTTCAATGCTTTCCCTTCTTTGGATTCCAGTGTATGACATCCGCTTGAGAGAGGCATGGCCAGAGATCATTCTTTTGGCTACTGTCTGGCTATTAGTAATAATTTCTTCTAGGTCAAAAGTGACCCTTGTGGACTCACAAGCATGTAATTTGAGCAAAGCATCCCTGGACTTGTGAGACTTCAAACAAAGTCTAGCACAAAGAATCTGTTAAAAATACAGCTGTTTCCCAAGCAGACGAGGCATCAATTTTATCTGTGTATGCTGGAATGAGGTTGTCATGGTAAGTCCATGGCAATGGTTCTCAACTTTTTAGATTTAAAGCATTCAGTAACTTTCTAAATTTACTTTTTGAAATGGAGTATTGTTAATTCCACTTATTTTTTACTACAGAAAAACAGAGCAATTCTGTTCTAAAGAACTCAGAAAGACAACAGGAAGGTCAGAAATATTTTTGACACTATGGATTCCTATGCAAAATCTCTAGAGTTTATCTGGAGAATCGTGTGACTGTGTCTCTGTATATCAAATGGTGCTAATACAGTATGGTACCCTTAAAAGAATTTCACAGCACCACAAGTCTTTGACAATTTATGTCTCTCATGTGGTGAAACAACAGATATGAAATACCTTGTGCGCTTTTAAGAGCATCAGACTCATGGCAATCAAAAATGGTTAAAATCAGATTTGAAATGCTCAAGAAAATAACGGGTTGGTAGGTTAAGTGTCAGGGGAACTGGTGATAGGTTAAAACGTAGAACAGTTGTGGCAGAATGCCACAAAGGACAGATGCACAGCCCCAAACACTCCTAGTTACAATATTCTGACAACACATGCAGGACCCACATGCACACCTATACTAGAAACCATGCTGATGCACACTTTACGTAAAATTTGCATACTTTCTTCATTTAGCACTTCAGAAGCAATTGTTTAAAAAAATGCAATTAGTATGTATTTTAATACTATTTAAGGTAGTAGCTGAACCCCTGCCTAAAACCCCGTATCCTTTTTACTAATGCCAGCAACCACTGTGTTTATGTAACCCTCCCTGCCATCAGAAATCCTACCCGTTTTACTGTTCTCAATTTTTAGGAGGTACCCAAAATTTTAAATTGCCACAACTGAACTTGCTGCCAAACTGGCACCTTCTCAATTCTCACCCCAATAATTTAGCTGACAGAAATGAAGGCTAAAAAGATGACAACAACCTATTTCCAGCAGGTGGTAGCACACCAGAGGCAACTAATCCCCTTGTAAAGAATGTGTACACAGAAGCAGAAGGGGTCACATTAATGAATAACTAAAAAGCTCCTTGCAAAGCTCCTCCTCTGAGCAATTACAGACTGAAGAGGATGAGAAAGAAAGATTAGACTGGGAACAAAATGGGAAAACACTGTTTTTGGGGAGATATAAACAGAAGATAAAAATAGAAAGGGTTAAAAAGGGGCAAAATGTGAAAATGAAGCTAAATGGTGAATATGCACAATATAAGTAACAGCAGCGAACAGGAAAAAGGGAGTTAACAAAAAGGAAACAATCACATTTATTAATATTTACTAGGAAACTGGAAGTTCAATTACTACAAACTATAATAAGGTTATATCTGTCCAGTTTCAGCATTAGTTCAACTAAATCAATAATCAATTTTGATAAAATTGATGCAGATATCTCGTTTGCACACTGTTATAGGTGTCATACAAAAAATTAAAAGAATAAGGTTACAAAGTCACGCACTTACAAGTTTTAAAAAAAACATGCTAATGATACTACACTGTCTTACAGCACTGCTTTTTCCCAACAGGACTTCTGCTTTTTTTTTTTTTAATGAAATGAACTCTCTTAACAACTCAAGAGTCTTGAGGCCCAGTGTCATGGGGTTGTTCACTACTGATTTTGTTTGTGGGGCCCCACACTATTCTCTCTTCCCACAAGGGCCAAATGCTGGACCATTTACAGATTGTTTATCATAGGTGTAGTAGTATTCTATTTTAAAATTCTGTTTTCATTCAAGGGCGTACGTTGTAACCAGGTCAGCCTAAGGGCATAGGCAGACAAGGTTCTTTGGGTAAGTCTGATCCAGGAAGAGCACCCACCAAGTTTATCAGGGGTGACCACCAGTATCTGGTGGAATGTTTGTTCACCAGAGCACCCCAAAGGTTGATGAGGTCAAACGGTTATAAACTACTGCAAGACCATTTCAGGCTGGACGTAAGGAAGAATTTTTTTACTGTCTGAACCCCCAAGGTCTGGAACAGCCTGCCATCAGAGGTGGTTCAAGCACCTACATTGAACACCTTCAAGAGCAAATAGGATGCTTATCTTGCTGGGATCCTATGACCCCAGCTGACTTCCTGCCCTTTGGGCAGGGGGTTGGACTCGATCTTCCGAGGTCCCTTCCAGCCCTAATGTCTATGAAATCTATGAAACTGTAGATGCTTCCCCACCTGATGAAGAGTATTTAAAACTGAAAGCTTGCTAAGAAGAATTTTTCCAACTATCTAAGTTGGTCTAATAAAATACATCAGATTTACCCAAAGAACCATGTCTGACTATTTTCATTCAATACATGGTTTTGGAAAAAATATTTTAAGCACAATTTCTCATGGTGAAACTCCAACCAACAAATGAATGTAGTGTTTTAGGAAAACCACTAAGTCACCTGAATATATTCTAAAGTTAAACAAGAACAGAAAGTAAAATTGATCTTTTTAGAGCACAGTGGGGGTTTTTTTGCATTAAGGTGAAGAAGATTGAAAATTGAGCTTCAAGTATGCACCAGCAAAAAGACAACCCAACTAAAATCTTCCACACATCTGAAAGATTTGTTTCATAAATGGATAACATTAGAAAACATTTAAAAGAGCATACTGACAATAAAAATATATCAAAAGCACTTTTCTTATTACAGCTCTTCATTTTTAAACCAAAAGTTCTTTAAAAAAAATCATTTTATCAACTGTTAAAGTACTGCACCCTTCACCTCTTCTAAAACTCACAACAAATTCTTATTTTTGGTCATAAGTTAAAATACAAACCGATCTAATGTTTTTGCTTCACTGTTTTTCCTGTCACCATTTGAGCCCATTTCAAATGACAAGCTCGATATTAAGCAGTTCAGCACTGCCTGATCTTGTGAATGATATCAAAGCCACACTTCACTGAAACTGACAGTTGAACTCAACCCTAAGAAGCAGGAAGAAATGAAGTTATATTTATACTATTTTGCATTCTTCCAAAAACCAAACTGGTGCTTATAAATAGGATCAAATAATATTTCACGGGTGGCGGGCATGCTTTAGGAGGACAAAATAGTTTTTGGGTTGATCCTGACCATTCTAGTGCAAGACCTATTTAATAAGGATGTTAAGAGAATCAAAGCAATTAAATTTAAAACGCAATCTGCAAATCATCAACTCAAAACAATCTACTTGGCTTTGATTTAAAAAAAACCCAGAAAAAAACCCAAATGAATATTACAGGCCCCTACCTTTTAGAGAAGAGACCAGCTAAGACCACATGATTGCCACCTTGACAGATACCTCAAGATACCAATTTATCTCCCAAGTAAGCTAATAAAAATTCTCATGAATTTAGCTCCTGAAATGGCTATATAAAATTAGCACACTCTCCTTATATGTACAGCAGGTAAGTAAATAATTAAAATTCAACAAAATGCCAGTATTGGTTGCCTACTGCTTATATTTATGACAAAACGCCTTTATCTACATATTTCCATGTGCAAGAACTATTTCAGTACACAGTATTTTTCAGCTTAACTATCTACCCTGTAAGGTAATTGGATGCTAGTTAAGCATACAGAAATGGTGGAGAAAAGGCAGCTACTGGAAGCCCTGCAAATGACAGGAGCATACTGGTTTCACAGCCATTTCCCCTGATTTTCAAAGGCTTCTAATAATGTCCCTGAAACTGACTGTTAGAAGATCTGAAAGTGGCGGGAACTAGTCAATGTCAGGACTGTTAATCCCAGAGCAGAGACAGCACTGTGTACTCAGATAAGTGCACAGCCTTTTCAAGTCCCAAGGTTACACGCTTACACAGAGTACACTGTATCAAGGGATTTTAGAAACACTGCCCCTTTTAGCTGTAAATAGTGCTAGCATGTCTTTAAGTGGTAAATTACATTCAGACTAGATGGCCTTCTATACAGCCTACTAGTAAAAAAAATCCAATAACTGGAACACATTCAAAATTTCCCAATAAAATTATTAAGTCGATTCCTACCTGCACCTTTTTGAAGGGCAACCCTACTATATTGTTTAAAAAGACATTCCATTCCTCATTAAGTTTCGCATGTTATATATTTCTAATATGTTAAACTAGATATTAATGAGACAAACATTTTCTTTTATTATATTATAAGCACATTTAAGCTTTTAATAATTTATTGTTCTCAGTGTGACAATTATTGGGACTTGAACATTACACTGATATATTCAATTAATAAAAATAGAAAATAAAACAGAATTAAGGAAAAAGTACTATTTTCGAAAACTCAGAGATCAATAAATCACAAGGATTACCCTTCTCAAATTCTATTTCTCCCTCTATTTCCTATCCCCCCGCCTTTAAAAGCACATACTCCAATTTCAACCAACACTACTGTAACATACATTATCTTCACATTTAAAAAATGAAGGAACCAAACCCATTATCAGATTTTAAAAGAAGTTTAACACAAAAGGGAAGTGAGGATCAAAAAGGAAATTGGTAAAATCCCACGAAGTGTTTTGATATAAATAGTTAAGATATACAAACTACATAATTCAAAGAAGAAAATATTTACTTGTAAAAATTAAGACAACTCACCTCTGTCTGCTGCAATAACTTATTCAAAACAGTACACAGGAATAACAAAGGATAGATACAGAAGCAAACAGGAGAACCTAGGTAATGATATAGCACTATGGAGATGCAATAAGTAATAAGAAAATACATATTTTTCAATTTCTCTACAAGACATCATTAATATATTACAGAAGCCCTGCTGTGAATTACTTTTTCATTTCACCACATGGTTACAAGCTCTAGGATGGGATGCATGCCAAGTCATTTAAAGTAGATCAAGTAACATGAATCTATGCCAGCATTCCATTTAACCTCATCATTACAATTTACTAAATGAACTAACAGTGCTCTCAATCATTTTTCTTGAACAAATTGTTTCAAGAAATCTGTAAAACAATATCTCAAACTGCCTCTATATAGAAACCACTTTCACTTATAAGCTATTTTTAGAACAGGGCATTTGAAAGGTGTAGACATAAGAACATACTTACAGATTGTATATCTTGTAATGGTTTTTATGTTTTGAATCCAAAAACCTTAAAAGAGAAAAGGCAATGTATATGAATATATTATGTTACTATTATTTCAAAGATACCTTAATACATTTCTAGTATCACCAAAATATTTTCAAACTAAGCCTGAAGTTCAGGGTAATCCCCTCAGCATTTCTTGAAGGGGAAAACACAAAACAAAACAACCCCGCCCCCCACCCCCCCCAAAAAAAAACAACGGGGGGGACGGGACGAGAGAGGATCCTGTAACCCTTGCTCATACAAGCAGCTCCATTAATACAAAAATGGATACTTTTGTAAATAAAAGATAAAGGATTAGCTTGTCACTTAACTACAATTTATGTTCGGTAGTCACACTTCATTGATCAGCAGTGTAGTGCACTGATGCTCAAACTTTTAGCTCCAAGGGCCAGATGAGTGGCATGTGGCCAACCCACAGGCCAATCCCTCATGGGGTCAGCACCTGCCCCAGCCCTGTGCATACCATTTAGTGTTCAGGGTCACACAATATCTGCCTGGCCAGGGGACACAGGTCCAGAAATCTGCCAGCAGATGAGCAGCAATTAGCACTGCCACCACTCCCCTGCTCCTAAATTTTTGAGCCTGTGGAAGGCCTGGCAGACCACGTGAAACAGCTTCATGGGCCAAGCATTGAACACCCTGGACATACTACATTTTCAGCTCATGTATATATTAAAACGTAAACTTCACATTTTTATAAGAAGTATGAAGGTTAAACCCAATATATTTATTGTGAAAACAGTATTTCCAACTTAATCATACACTTGAAACTTTTTATGGGAAATATGTTATCTATTGAGCGATTCTATTACTGATTAATGCCACGAACCAAGAATTTAAAGAAACAGATTCTAAGAGATATAAATGACCATTATTAATAGATCCTTGACCTTCCCGACAAGGCCAACAAAGGTGCCTGGAAACAGTGAGGAAGAACATTATGGTTAGGGACCTACTCAAACTGCAAAAAAAATGGCAGTTTTTGCAGAGACTGCAAAAAACCAGCAGTTTCCACAACTCTGTGCAGAATCCCCAGAAAATAAAACCTACTTAAAAATAAAAATGCTGGCTCACCAGTGATAGCCAGCAGCTACTGCAACCCACTGGTGGGAGAAGGGGGAAAGCGGGAGACAGGACAGGACGCGCCACGGGCATGAAGTGATGCAGCCAAGACGTCAATCACTCCCCTCCACTGCTGATTGGCTGAGGGCTGCCTTTTGGGCAGCCCTATCCTACGTTACCCATCAGTGGCAATGGGTGGGAACACAGGAAGGGCAACCCTCCCAACCAATCAGTTTCAAGGGTCGGAGCTGCTGTGATAAGTCTGGGAAAATGGTGGCTGGTGCTATATTCAGGCCATGAAATTACACATCTGCTGCCTCGATTTGGGATTTTTAATCATCTCAATTAACACAATTTAATCACTCAACTTCCCTTCCATTCATGGAAACGTAATCCTCTGCAACAGCCTTAAATATTTCAGCTAACAGCCCGAGGAAATTACTTTGGGCTAACTTCTATACTTCATGCTGAATTAATGGAGGAAGGAGAATATATCCATTGTGAAGTTAACTAAGTCACAGAAATCAGGAGGACACAGAGTTTAAGTTTTTAAAAGTATTCTTACCCATAGCCTTACCACTACTATTCACTAATGAAAATAAACTTCACATGCATAATTTTCACAGACCTCAGTTAAGACAATGTAAAGTAGACTTGCCGATTTGCTTTCTCTCATGTCCCAAAATAAGTCTGAGGCATTAAGGTTGCAAAACTAAAACCAATTTTTTTTTTTTAATACTTCCTTCAATTGACATATTTCTGTCACCCACAAAAAAACATGGTGGAAATCTGAGGCCAAATTTAATTAGATCTTTTTCCTTTAAGCAGCCCTAACTTGTCCCAAGTTACAGTCAACAGAAGAGAAAGCCAGAACCCAAAACCAGGATGCCAGATTTCTAGTTCTCTTATCACCACACTGCTCTAAAATCCAAAGCTTTAAGTTTACCTGAAGTCCTCAACTATTAAAAAAGATCATGTTCCCCTGCTTTGTCCCTGCCTGTTAAGATACTTCCCCAAGACTTTTCTCTTATTAAGCAAAGAAGGAAGACAAAAGCTATCTTCTCTATGGTGATGCAACAGAAACTCTTCATGCAGTAGCTCTTAGAAATTGAAATTGCCATGACTGTGTGTGTGTCACCTAGCAGTGTTCAATAAGAAATAACATGCAAATGTTTACACTTAACATCATCAACAATGTGTATTTGCACATCAGCCAGAAGGAATTTAATTAGCCATGGCAGAACATGCTGTTCAAAATGAAAAGAAACACAAGCTGCTAAAATCCTGGAAAGCTGAAGCAAAAACAAGCTCTAGTTATCAGTCATAATACTCCAGAAGAACCTAGAAGAACTTTGTGGTTAAACTGATGCATTAAAATAAGAACAGATGTGAGCAGACATCGTGCAATACTGAATCCCAGACTGCAATTTCATCCATGGAAAAGGGAAAAAAAAAAAATATTTCAGAGCAAACTACTATTGCCAACAAAGGTGCTAATCTCAGGGATGTCAAGGAACTCTGTCATGAAAGCTCATTCCTATAGGTAACTCCACCTAAATAAAGCTAGAAGAACAGGGAAAGCTGAATTTATGTGTGCCAGTAATTTTAGTTTTATGGACAGATTTTCCAGTATCCAGAATTATCAAATTAGGCATTTTTTAAAACCCTAAATTAACAAAATACTCATTGCAGCAGTAGAAAAAAATATTGAGTGGCTGTCTATGAAAAGAGTATGTTTCTAGCTACAGAGTATTTGCAATATGATACTGTCATTAGTACACTTATCATGACACTGACACCAACTATTCAGAAAGTATACTGGCATGTCCCCAGAGCCCTATACTAATTTATCCTGGACCTTGAGCAAATGTACCCTGTACATGAATTTTATATAACATTTTATTAAACTCAAAGAAAATAAAGATTTGAAAAGTGAAAGATGGTTACTCCTGCTAAAATATTGCAAGTTAACGCATTTGTACAGTCATGCTTCCTGTTTGAAAATGAGGAACTAAAGATAATATAACTTAGGTCACGTCCAGTTCCTCTGCAGCCATTTAATTCACACACTTTTCATATCCAGAAACAGCTGATTGTGTTATGCTACTGCTTTGCAAAATAGCTGCTTTGCAAAATTAGTTCCTCCATGAACTAATACACCTAACTTTTAAATGACGGAATTCTGTTCCATTCATCTAACTTTAAGGTCTAATTTACAGACAATGTATTGCATTTACATACTTAAATAAATTTTACTTTTCTACATTCTAAAATTATTAGGGTCAATATACAGAATTGTGTAAGGCTGTCAGTCAAAACCAAAAACATTAAAACTACTTTCATTAGCATGCTGAGTTAAAATTTCCAGCCTGATTTTCTGATATTTCATGTCTAAAATCTTTTCTGAAGTGTGTGTGTGTGTGTGTGTGTGTGTGTGTGTGTGTGTGTGTGTGCGCGCGCACACACGCGCGCGCACACACACGCTATCCAGGGGAAAGATGCAAAGACCAACTGGCTTAAGTGAAAGCCAGAAATTACTTGAGATCAGAAATGCCTTATGGGACACCAAGACAGATCTGTTCTTTGTGCCCATGTCTCTACGCATTTCAACACCACCAGTGGAGGAACACACAGAAGTATTCCACACGTGCTCCATGTGATATCCCCCAAAACAAGGTTTAACCTACGACATATGTCATGTCCTTTTCAGGGAACAGCCTGTATGGTATTTCACCACAGTATTCCCTAGCATAGTGCTCAGACCGAGCAGACGTGGCCATACATATTGCAGACTGATACAAAGGGACAAACACAGAGTTCTGTGCATCATTCCTCAAATACTCTCAGAAAGGTTCAAAACACTGGTGCTTCAGGATGAGGGTGATTCTCAGCTGGGAAGTGTATAGAATAAGCTTCTCAGGAACACTATTTTCTAATCTTATTACTTCAATATAGCATTAAGGAACAAAAACCAAAAATTGATGCAGGTGAAGCTCACTGCTTTAAATGAAAGTAGTCTGCTATGAAAAGAATGATGAATTTGCAGATATTTTGTCAGTCATACATAAAAGTGATTCTTACTACAAATTTATTTTGCTTTCCACTAGAATCTTCTGCATTTCATTAGCCAGTACAGAAACTTGAGTTCAGGATGGAGAACACAGCTGTAGTCTCCATCCTGGCCTGCCCTGCGATATCAAGTCTCCAACACTGGAACTAATGACAAATAGTCTGATCACCAACACTGCCTTGTCAGGATGATGCTACTTAATACAGTAAAGCTCTCCTATTATATCTTGGTGTGCAGTATGAAAGACCAGACAAAACTCACAGAGGAGAACTTGAGATCAGCCAAGTAGGCACCTATCTGTCAGTCTAGATTTTTTTCTTGCTTGGGCAGAACTAGTAGCATTTCTTGTGCCAACAGTGGCACACATCTACAAGACATTTTTCACACCCCTGGAACAGAGATCCCAAGATGAGGCCCTTCAGTAGCCACTCGAGTACTACACTTTGTTCAATGCAAGTCATTAAGAATGCTTCTTTTTTTTTTTTGCCTAACAAAAAGCAAAGTGGGTACATGAATATTACCTTTACTCATATGCACTATTTTCACTTCCAAGAGAGAACTATGATCTCTCTGTTGAGTAAATGTGAAGTATAGTAATGTGATGCCTGTGAGTAGTTGCAAACAGCTCTACTGAGGTAGGAAATCATTTCCTGCAAAGCGGTAAATGTTGAATTCCCTTGGAGTTCAGCATGCAAACTGCATGGAACAGGTAAGCTCCACACTGACAAACAGAGCAAATGTGAACAGCACTGAAAATGGTAATATCCAGAATGGGCCGCCTTTGAAGCCTGGTCCCTATTCTGTCAACCACTTCAATAAAAAGAAGCAATTTTTCCAGAACACCAATGTCCATCTCGACAAGATTAGGACACACT